TGAGCAAGACCACCATTCCCGAGAGTATCATCGAGTTTATTCAGGTGAGTTTGTGTTTGAGTTTGATTTGGCCATTCCTAATACTTTTCCTTGCAGCTGTGCACCCTCAGCTACGGANGCTGTGCACCCTCAGCTATGGGAAGGTGAAGCTGGTGCTAAAGCACAACCGCTACTACGTCGAGTCGACCTTTCCCGAGGTGATCCAGCGACTGATCAAGGACCCGGTCATTATGCGATGTCGGGTGCGCCGAGAGGAGGCCGGCGATGAGCTGATCACTGGCTCCATCTCTACCCGGGCCAACTTTGCCGGCGAAAAGAGCTCCACCGCTGCTGAGGCTACGGGAGACCCTTCTGCCACTACTACCGGGAAGAAGCCCGACAACCTGCCCGAGGACATCTTCAACTTTTACGAGCGCATGGAGCAGGACGACGAGGAGCCGGAGGACATTGAGACGGTCAGCTTCGAGGTGAACCAGTCGGAGATTGAGACGATCCAGAAGCGGTGCATCGAGCTGGAGTACCCGCTGCTGGCCGAGTACGACTTTAAGAACGACACCCGCAACCCCGACATGAACATTGACCTGAAGCCGAACGCCACGCTGCGCCCCTACCAGGAGAAGAGCCTCCGGAAGATGTTTGGCAACGGCCGTGCCCGCTCCGGCGTCATTGTCCTGCCCTGTGGCGCGGGCAAGTCCCTCGTCGGCGTGACCGCCTGCTGCACCGTTCGCAAGCGCTGTCTGGTGCTCTGCAACTCCTCGGTCTCGGTGGAGCAGTGGCGGATGCAGTTCAAGCTGTGGAGCACCGCCGACGACAGCATGATCTGCCGCTTCACCTCGGACGCCAAGGACAAGCCGATCGGCAGCAGCATCCTCATCACCACCTACTCGATGATCACCCACACGCAGAAGCGCTCCTACGAGGCGAACCAGGTGATGGACTGGCTGAAGGACCAGGAGTGGGGGCTGATGCTGCTGGACGAGGTGCACACCATCCCCGCGAAGATGTTCCGCCGGGTGCTCACAATCGTGCAGGCGCACGCCAAGCTCGGCCTGACGGCGACGCTGGTGCGCGAGGACGACAAGATCGCCGACCTCAACTTTCTCATCGGCCCGAAGCTGTACGAGGCCAACTGGCTGGAGCTGCAGTCCAATGGCTTCATTGCCCGCGTGCAGTGCGCCGAGGTGTGGTGCCCGATGCACCCGGAGTTCTACCGAGAGTACCTCGCCGCAAAGACCATGAAGAAGATGCTCTTTTACGTGATGAACCCGAACAAGTTTCGCGTCTGCCAGTTCCTCATAAAGTACCACGAGCGGCGCAACGACAAGATCATCGTCTTCAGCGACAACATCTTTGCGCTGGTCAGCTACGCCAAAGCGATGGGCCGCCCCTACATCTACGGGCCGACGTCACAGGGCGAGCGGCTGCAGATTCTGCAGAACTTTCAGTTTAACCCCAAGCTGAACACCATCTTCGTCTCGAAGATTGCCGACACCAGCTTCGACCTGCCCGAGGCCAATGTCCTCATTCAGGTCAGCTCCCACGGCGGCAGTCGGCGGCAGGAGGCGCAGCGCCTGGGCCGCATTCTGCGCGCGAAGAAGGGCATGGTGACGGAGGAGTACAACGCCTACTTTTACTCGCTCGTCTCGCAGGACACCCTGGAGATGCAGTACTCCCGGAAGCGGCAGCGCTTTCTGGTGAACCAGGGCTACGCCTACAAGGTCATCACCACCATCAAGGGCATGGAGGAGGCGGAGCTGCTGTACGGCAGCAAGGAGGAGCAGATGGCCCTGCTCCAGCAGGTGCTCCAGGCCAACGACGCCGACGGCGAGGAGGAGAACGTGGCGCTGCTCGACGGGCCGCCGGAGATGAGGGACCGCGGGGAGCGATCGTTCGGCCGAGGACCCGCGGGCAGCTCGAAGCGCTCCGGCCACATGAGCTCCC